CAATTATTAGCTCAAGATCAGGCATACTAACCCATACTTGCATTAGTTTCAGATATTTTGTCAAGGTCAGGGATATCGACCTATATTCACGTTACTTTCAATTATTATCTTAAGACTCCTTCATAGTGTGAAGTTGGCCATTACATGAAAAATTGTCAGCTTTAGAGGAAATGAAGATAGCAGCAGGAAAAATTAAAATCTGCTGTAACAGCTGAATCAGGTGCTACCTTTGAATGATCTGGTCATTTATTTAAACTCAGTTAAAAACAGAGATCTAAATTTTCAAAAGTCCGAACACAGTTTCTTCATAACTTGTGTGAAAACACATATTAATGATTCAGATGTTGTGAAACCTTCTCTGCATTTTCAGTGTTAAGCCCAGGATATTTATTAGCACCAACATCAAGGGAAGTTCATATAGAGAAACTGAACTTGTACATAACAATGATGCTTTATCAAAGGAGTTATTGAATCCTCTGAGTGAAACTGATGTGCTGTGTGAGTGGAAACTAGTGAAACTAATGCTGAGTTGTAATTTAAGAAGGAACATTCTCTGTAGCAACATGGACAAAATTGTTAGCTGATGATGGTTTTAAAGCTAGCTTTCCTAATGCATCTTCTATTGTAAGTGTAACACTGATGTCGACAGTTGACTGCAAGCTTGGTTTTAGATGCTACAATATAATCAAACATAAACCAACTGAAAGTGAGCTATGAAAACTCACTAATGCAAATGTGGGTCAACATGTTTGATCTTAACAAAATCTCTGAAGCTAATGCAAATCTGTGTTGATATGCCTAATACTGATATAGTGATAGACCATATAGTGATATTTATAGTAATATTTTTAATGACCATATAATGATATTTATAGTAATATTTTTAATGACCATATAATGATATTTATAGTAATATTTAAAATATTCAAAACTAACTCGGATGTAGGTCGATATCCCTGACCTTGACAAAATATCTGAAACTAATGCAAGTATGGGTCAGTATGCCTGACCTCGAAATAATAATTGAAAGTAACGTGAATATAGGTCGATATCCCTGACCTTGACAAAATATCTGAAACTAATGCAAGTATGGGTTAGTATGCCTGATCTCGAGAGAATAATTGAAAGTAACGTGAATATAGGTCGATATCCCTGACCTTGACAAAATATCTGAAACTAATGCAAGTATGGGTTAGTATGCCTGATCTCGAGAGTTTGGAAGTGAAAGTGTAGTTGAAATGTTACTGTCTAACAAACTTCACTGGCAGAGGTTTGGAAGTGAAAGTGAAGTTGTAAATGTTACTGTATAACAAACCTCACTGGCAGAGGTTTTTTTAAATTCTGGGGTACATACAATTTATTTTTAACTAAAATGTATAATATTGTCAGTTTTGTCACTTTTCATACAATGTTCAATAAGGATATTATGAAAATTGATTTTATTAATTAACATAATAGCTATTCATTATGTATAACTTTCTTTATTTTTTGCCGTACATTATCCAATACAAATTTAAGTATACTACCTTTCAAAGCTACCATTTGATTAAATTTCAGCATCAGTTGTTTTTTATGGTGTGGTCATTGACTCAGCATAAGTCATACAATTAATATGGTCAATACATACTTCTCATTCTGTTCAAATCCATCAAAAGTTATGTTGGATAAGTTGTTCACCATGGGTGGTTAACTTAATTGAAACAGGTAGAACTAGACTGGATATACTAATGATGACTGAAAGGTGTTGTTCAAGATTTGAAGACTGTGTATACAATCATTGTTGTATTGCTCATTGTTTGTCTTTTGTTGTAGGTTATCTTAACATGTTAGGGTTGATACATAAATATTACAGTAATATTTCCAAAGGAAATTTAAGCTTGAAGAAACATACTGCTCATATTAGCTAAAGCCCGTATTAAGTTCAAAGAAGTGTGTGAAACTCAGTGGTTAATCCTTGAGGGCTCAGTTCAGGCTATACTGGGCAAGTGAAAGTGTAGTTGAAATGTTACTGTGTAACAAACCTCACTGGCAGAGGCCAAACCTCTGCCAGTGTGGTTTGTTATACAGTAACATTTCAACTACACTTTCACTTCCAAACCTCTGCCAGTGAGGTTTGTTATACAGTAACATTTCAACTACACTATCAGTTTCCTGCTAAAAACAAAAATACAGTATCCAAAAAATATAAGTATTAATAAAAATACTACAGAATGACAAATGATTATTTCAACTGTAAAGTTCATACATGTAAAATTACATGTTATACTGAATCAAAATAGCCTGTTTTTTTTAGCTTTCAATATTTGTAACACATAAAACATATAAAAATTAATTACCATGAAACAATTTCATAACTTGTACTTTTATTTCTCTTACAACGGCTGACTATACGATAACGAATATTATCAGTCACTTACTTTAAAGAACAGCCTCAATTTTTTTAACACATTCATGTTAAAGTTATGCATAAGAACAGATATACATGTATTCAGTAACTGTTTCCTTCCTATACAGTATTATAAAAGCTTTCTCTAAACTGATATTTACATAATAGAAAGCAGTACACTAGTACTTTGCAAATTTAGAATAGAATAATTATAATTACTTGTAATATTTCAAATACACAAAACCTATACAAAGTAATATCTACACAAAAAGATTTCAGAAAACAAGCATTAAAGCATAAAATATCATGTATATATATACACAAAAGTTAATGATAATCACCCTTTTTAACCCAGCCTCAGTGCCATCCACTTGACTAGAAAAACTTGTAGTCTCCCGTAGATTTGATATCAAAGTTAGATTTTCATCTCCTGTTAGTTTAGCAGTTGAAGACAGCTCATTGGTGGATAGAACTTGTAGTTCCTCAACAGCTTTCTCAAGGTCTGTCACCCTGTTTTGAAGTCCCCAGATAGAAGTTTCAATTGTTCTGATCACATCATTATCAGTAAGGCCCATGTTCCTGGCAATGTTTATCATGTAACTATTATGTAACTTTCGGAAGTATTTACTGTTTTTAAATTTCTTTGGAGACTTCAAGTCATATTTTGAATGATTTGACTGAATATTATTCTCATCACTAGGTAAATATGGAACTGTTAAAGGCTCCTGTTTTAAATTTACAAGCAGCTTTTGATCAGGAAAAGGCATAGGTTCCAGATTGTCATCTACATTCTGCCGTATTTTATCAGACCCTCTGCCTTGTAAACTTCTTTCTTCCAATAAATCCTGGCATGGTTTATCACTTTGTTTTAAGTCATCTGTAGGTACTGGTGGAGACTCAGAATTATCAGTGCCAGTAACGAGAACATTTTTGGTTATCGAATTATGTTTTTCGAAACTGCTTCTTAATTTCAAAGATGCTTCTGAAACACCTTTTACTAGTTTTGCAGAATGTGGAGAGAGTGAACCATTATATTGTGTGTCTTCAAAGATGTCTACTACAATGTCATTTAAATCTGTTTCTTCAATAATTGTTAGCAGCACTGTTCTTAGGATGTTGAAGTTCACTGCACCCACTTCAGGCGAACACAGAGCAAGGTCTACAAGCTCAGGCAGGGTGTAAGTCATGATGAGTGGCACATCCCTCAGGTGTTCTTCAATCCTAAACACGAGAGTTCACCTAGAATTACCAAGAAACCAGATAACTGCTTAGTTCACATCTCAGAATGACTATTAGATATAATAAAAATCTTTCCTGATACACAGTTAATAAATTCACAGAACACTTAGTTGTGTTTTTAATAATAAGAAATCATAAAGTCTGCCATGAAAGGCACGAGCTCAGATTTCTTGGTTCACTTTTGTATCTTAAGACTTATTTTCTATCAATTGAGCTGCCAGAGCTTCATGTCCCACACAGACAACTCTTCACCAAAATGATTACAAGAAGAATATTCTTGAAAAATTCAATTAAGATAAAAATAAAGTAAACATGACACTCAGTTAAGCAGAAAAATTGGGTTTATTTTGGAGTTATCTGTGCAAATATCTTGAGTCTACTTTGGAATCAGATAAATAGAAAACTTGGATCTACATCATTTTTCTTTAGTTTCATTAATGGTTATAATGTTTAAATAATTACTATTAATAATTTTTACTCTAATGAAGATTATTTTGCATTGTTAGCTTAGTGTATGAAATAGCCATATTTTATCTCCCAGAGTAAGCATACTTTTGATCAAAGTTATTGATAGGTCTATATTGGGGAAGGTAAGAAACTTGAGACTATATTAGAATCAATAACAACACTCTTAATGGTAAACTGCCAATGTAACATCTTTTAACAATAAATATAAATTATTTCACTTCAACAACCAATTCTTCACATCTAGATATTTCTTCAAAGTTTAAATAACTTAAAAGGATCACCACACCATGTCATGAAAATCATCCTACACATTTTTAACTCTAACAAAGTAGTATTTTCTAAAAGTCTGGAACTAGGCTTGCACTTCCCAGATTTAAGACAATTATAATTCCAACTTTGTCAGACTACCACTTCTCTAAGCCTTTTATCAAAACCCCTAACAGTTTTAACTCCCTGATTTCCAGATCTTTCAACATTCCAGAAGATCTAATTCTTTGCATTTTGTACATCAGGCACACTAACAGCCCATTTCTGCACTTGTTATCCAGGTACAGTAGAGCCTAACACCAAAAGTTAAACTAATGGGATTGTCCTTAATCATCAGTATATTCCTTCAACTGCTTATTTTCTAAAATATCAAAAACAAAGAAATATTCCAGTTATCACAAATATCCTGTGTACAGCAGCTTTAGTAAGATAATGGTAAAAAGCATCTCTACCCCTCAGTTTCTTCAGAGCATTGGATTATATTTTGTCTAAGACAGAAGTTTTATTGTCATGAAGTTTTCCAGCTTTATTAAAAGTTTTTGTTTTCAAAATTTTAGCAAAGCTCTTCTCAACTTTTAAGTAAAATGATCAAATTTAGATTTCTCTTTTATTAGTAAATACTAGAAAATATATTTACATCTGTACTACATTCCTTTTCTCCCTGCAAGATTCCCATTAAATATCTTGAACTTTAAATTATTCTCTCTCTTTCGATGACGAGGAACCCACTTTGAGACTAATAATGGCTGGAGACGGCTTGAATGGGTAATGAAGAAAAACTTTAATATAACAGCAAATGTACAACGTTTCGACAAGGTTTTGTCATCATCAGGTACCAAGTACGTTG